CCAACATCCACTTATGATAAAATGCTTAGCAAAATGGGAATGGAGGAACATAACATAATAAAAGCCATATATGACAAACCTACAGCCAACATCATGCCCAGGTTTCAGTTTGACCTCTAGTAGGGGGCTTGAGGGAGGCAGCCAATCAATGATTCCCTCTCATCATTGATGTTTATATCTCTCTCCCTTTCCTTTCCTCTCTGAAATCAATAAAAATATATATATTTTAAAAAGTATAAACTCAAAATGAATAAAAGACTTAAATGTAAGTCGTGAAACCATAATGAATTCAAACTAAACATAGGCAGTAAAATCTCAGATGTCTCTGGTAGCAATATTTTTACCGATATATCTCCTGGGTCAAGGAAAACAATGGGAAAAAATGGAACTTCATCAAACTAAAAAGCTTTGCATAGCAAAAACAAACAAACATCAACAAAATGAAAAGGGAACTCACTGGGAGAACATAAGAACATATTTGACAATGATACATTTGGTAAGGGGTTAATTTTTAAAATATATAAAGAACTTATAGTATTCAACATCAAGAAGATAAACAATTCAATTTTAAAAATGGCAAAGGACCTGTATAGACATGTCTCCAAAGAGGACATACAGATGGCCAATAGACATATGAAAAAATGCTCAAAATCACTAATCACAGCTGCCAGAATGAGATATCACTACAATGAGATATCACCTCACACCTGCCAGAATGGCTATCATCAATAAATCAACAAACAACAAGTGATGGTGAGGATGTAGAGTAAAGGGAACTCTCATATACTGCTGGTGGGAATGCAGACTGGTGCAGCCACTGTGGAAACAGTATGGAGTTTCCTCAAAAAATTCAAAATGGAACTTCCTTTTGAACCAGCAGTTCCACTTCTGAGAATATATTCTAAGAAATCCAAAACATTAATTTGAAAGAATATATGCACCCCTATGTTCACTGCAGCATCATTTACAATAGCCAAGACCTGGAAATAGCCCAAGTGCCCATCAATAGACTGTTGGATAAAGAAGCTTTGGTACATTTACACATGGAATACTATGTGGTCATAAAAAAAGAATAAAATCCTATCTTTTCCAACAGGATGGGTGGACCTGGAGATTATTATGCCAAATGAAATAAGCCAGTCAGGGAAAGACAAGTGTCATATGATTTCACTCATATGTGGAATCTAATTAACAAAATAAACTGACAAAATAGAAAGAGAGGCATGGATACATGAATAAACTGACAGCTGTCAGAGGGAGAAGGATTGGAGGACTGAATGAAAAAGGGTGAAGGAATGAGCCAAAAAAACAAACAAACAAACCCATATACATAATACCTAGACAGACAACAGTGTGGTGATAGCCAGAGAGAAAGGAAGTGTGGGGCAGCCTGACCTGGGCAAGGTGGGATAATGGGGATGGAAATGAACTTTGCTTGGGGCGATGGTCACTGGATGCAGTGTGCAGGCGATCTTTTGTTTAGTTGTACAATTGAAACCTGTATGGTTTTGTGAACCAGCATCATCCCAATAAATTCAACTTAACAAATAAAAAATAAAGTATTTAACATGCACGAGTCATGGTCATTGGCTGTGCCCGTTTTCCCCTGGATCAGAAAGCAGTTTCCTCATTTCACCTCTGTATGTCCATCGTGCCAATGTAGGGATGGGCGGAGGAAACCAAGGGCACACGTGAGAGCCTTGGACAGCAGTGGTACAGAAGGGTTGGCAAGTTAAGTGGAATATTGGGGTGGCAAAATGAAAAAATACAGGTCATTTTGTCTGTTATTACGTAAGAACATGGCAAAACGAGAGCATGGATGCCAGCCAGACCGGAATTCAAGGCCTGTTCTCTTTCACTTGCTTAGTGACCTTGGGCAAATGACCCTGTCACTCTGAGCCTTGTTTCCCTCCTTAAAATGGGGAAGTGGCACTTGCAGGTTTGTGAAAGGCTTGTAGATGAAATGTGTCCGGTGTCTTTTACAGAGTGGGTGGTTAGTAAATGGTAGCTCTCCTCATCATCTCTGATCCCTGTCTGTACTTCTTCCTAGGTTAGGGTGGAATTTTTGCCCGAAAGAGGAAAAGGTGAGAAATGAGTTAGTAGCTCAGCCTCCTCCACACTGTTGCTTTTGGCATCTGGACCTTCTCTCCTCCCACCTCAGACCTTAGGAGCCACTTGAGCAGCTGAATATAGTGATGTTCATAGGGTTAAACCTCCAATAATTACTAAATCTGACTGCCATGTTTTATAAAGTTCTAGAGACTACGAGTAACGTCCTAAAAATATCCCTGTTTAAATTGGTGTTACTAGAACCTCGTGGAGGAGTGTGGTTACTAAGGTACAGACTATTACCATGAATTTTAAGCCCTTGGGCCTTCTAGAATCTACTAGTATGCCCACTGGCCTGGAAACCTCTTTTAGATATCTTAAGACTGGCAAAGGGACCAAATACAAACATGGCAGTGCTTCTGATGAGTTTAACATATACTTAAATTTCTAGGCAATTTAAGGGATCGTGTATTTCTGTTTGCTTGTTTGTTCTGTTTTTACATATAATCATAATTTCTGGCTGAAATTCAACCCCTGTCCATACTTAGCAACAGGATAACTAATACTATTTAGTAAGAAACGGGAGTAGTCTGAAACTTTGATTAAGAAAAATAAGGCACTTTACCTGAACAAATTTCAAATGGATCCATTTAAAATGAAACTAAATGGCACTTAACTGGTTTGCAAATTGGGACCTATTCATCTCAGGAAAAATGATTCAAGTCTTAATTTATCCCTAAAATTGGCTTTATTATTACATTTAATTATACTAGAAGCTTGTTAAAGACTTGTAGCTTCTCTCTATCCCTTTAAACTGCACTTTATAGAGACAATAATTGAATATTGGATAGAAGAACTTGATTTCCAAAGAAATATGTTTCTAATATTTTCCTCTTTTCATTCCAGAAATTGAAACAAGTTGAAGAAACAAAAGAGGATCCTGAGAATAGATTATCTAAAATTTCCCTGGAGTCGTTCAATAAATATAACAGCAATACTGTGATTTTATTAGAAAAAGACAAGAACTCTCCGAACAAGGTTGAAGGACGAAAGGAAGAAAAGGAAAAAAATGAAGAGGCATCTTTGAGTAGCTCAGACCGGCCTGGGGTAGACAATTTGGAATCTCTGAGTGATTCCTTATATGATAGCTTCTCTTCCTGTGCAAGTCAGGGTTCGAATGATGCATAAAGGACTTTTCCCCCTCAGTGAGCTGGAAATGGAGCACTTAAGCGTCAGGGGTTGGGAGGGGCAGGTAGAGATGACAACAATAAACTATTACAACACCAGAGCCTATGTTTTCAGGTTCACAGCAAGCAACCCACTGGAGCTTTCTTCTCTGACAGAGCAATAAAGATAGATTCCATGTGCTGTGTTTCATAAGGATTAAAAGTAAACACACCCATGATACAGAAGTCTTAATTTTGCACTTTTTAAAATATTTGTATAGAAGTTGTAAATTTTTTGGAAAAGAAATTATATTTGTAGCAAAAATAAATAAATGGAATCCGTGCCATGCTCTTGAAATGATGTACTAAGTCTTTTAGAAGTTGGTGACAATATATTTTTTAAAATTCCAACTAAAGTTTTTGTCCAGTTCATCATCCTAGTGCTTAAATTGTTTGTGGGTACACTCCGAAAACCTAAAACAGAGCCTGCAAAAACAAACAAACAAAAAACAAATAAACAAACAAAAAAACAGAGGCTAATTATAATCTCCAACTGCCAATCTTGATTTGATATAAACTTATTTCTAGTGCAATTTCAAAATTGCTGCCAGAACTATTCAGGCTTAGTGATAAGTATAATTCTGCTTCTTCTGAGAAGTGTAAAGAGTACTGAAGTGTGCCACTGATCCGTGGGGATGCGTATCAGAAGTGACCTAATTCTATTTTCAATAGCAGATCTTCTTTCCAAACATTTCCTTACAGCCTCCTCTACTTTGTCCTTCACTATGATGCGGAACATTTTGGTTGATTTTTATTTTCCAGCTCTTTTTATTAAAATCTGGGCAATCTAGAATGAAAGCAAATTTCTATTTATGATGTTCACTTTTTTAAAAGAAAAAATTAATGGTTGGTGCTATGAAAAATTCTTACTTTTTAATATCCTTTTTTTCTACAAAGTGTTTATATGTAAGGATACATTCTATTTTAAAGGTTATGTGTATTTTTTCTAGATGTGAACTATTTATAATTGTTTTTGTACAGGAGCTTTGTAAACTAGGCATAATAGAAATATTTTTAGACTGTATAATTACTTTAGTACACACCTGTTTCTTTAAAGACTATTGTATGATCAGTGTTATGGGGTAAATTTGTGCAATTTGTTATATTTGAATTTTGTCTTAAATGAAAATTATGTAACGTGTCACTCATTGTCTTTCAGACCTTTAAAAAAAAATTTGTTTCATTTCTGAATAAAAGTCCTATCACAATGAACCCGTGAAAGCTTACAGGAATTTGTTCAAGGAGCCTTTGGCCCAGTGTGGTTGTTGGGATCTCACACGTGCTCCCAGGATGAATTGCCCAAGGAATAAATAAACCGGCCCTCGTGCTCCCGAGATAGTAATTCAGCCAGTTGTCAGATCCGAGTCTGCTGGCAAAGGAGTACTGGTCAAAGCATTTCAGTCTCCCCAGGGGTTAAGCGGCTGGAAGAGAAAGGAAGAGGGGGTGCAGGAGGCGAGGAGCGGAGGGAGATAGGGACTGCTCTGCACAGGAATGACAAGGAAGTCCTTGAAGCCCGTTTCCAGCCCGCTCTGCCGGCCGGATGGGGAAATGAAAGATCCGCGTCCCGGCCTGCGAGAGCTCCTCCCGGAGGTGGCCGAGAAGGTGAAGAGCGGCAACGCGTCTGAAACTATTTCCACAGAAAGGGGGGCTCCCTAGGGATTTGGGGGGCGGGTGGGAACTGCGGGGTTGGGGGCGGGGGCACCGAGGCTCTCCCGTGCCACCTGCTGCAGGCTCCGCGGCGAGGGAGGTGGACGCGGCCGGCGCAGCCCGGAGGCATCCCCGGCGGTTCTCTAGGTGGGTCTCTGGAGCCGGAGAGGAAGAACGGGGGTGGGAGGGGGCAGGGCAGCAGGACCGAGTGCGAGTGCGGGGCTGGGAGGACGCGGGAGCGTATTCCAACGGCCCACGGATCTGAGAACAGGAGGAAGCTTCCCGGCCCTTTGGGAGAAGGGGATAGAGCAACTCCCTTCTCCATTCCAATTTGCTTCCTAGTGGGAGGTCGCGGCAGCGGTCCTGGGCGGCCCTCTCCGGGGGCAGCGTCGCCGCACCCTCCCGCGGGGCGCGGAGGCAGCGGACAGGGGGGCTGCCTGGAGCTGGCGCGCCGGTCCGGGCAGGGCCCGCCACACCCGGCCGCCCGGCCGCAGCTGCAGCGGAGCCTGGGATGACCCAGGGGCTACTCGGGGGTAAGAGGGCGCAGCTGCGCGCAACAGCCGGGGCCGCGGCAGGTCCGCAACTTTGCCGGCACTGGAGCGCGCTCCCGCCCAGCTGGGAGGACCCGACCCGCCAGCCGCCGCGCCCTGGCCAGCCCGGGAGCGCCGAGGTCCCTTCGGGAGCGCAGTCCGCCGGCCCGATCGCGCAGGTCCCGCAGTCAGCGCCCGGCCCGTCCCCGGCGCACCTGCTGCGCCCTTCTCCCGCTTCACCGAGCTCCCCTCCCCCGCCTCGGACAACTACGCGCTCTCCCGGGGCCTCCCTGTCCTAGGGAGGTGCGGAGGCTGGAGGGGGAGGCGAGAGGAGGGGCGTGGGGACGTGGAAAGACAGTCCCAGCCTTCCCCGCCCGCCACCCCCACCCCAACTCGGCAGCCGTCACGTGGTGCCTGGAGTGGGAGGTGAGGAGAAGAGGCTAGACTTTTTGGATGCTCGCTTCGCCAGTAGTTCCTTCAGTCTCAGCCGCCAACTCCGGGGACGCAGCGCCCCGCCCGAGAGAGCCGGCGAGAGGAGCAGCGACCGCAGCCCGGAGCCCCGCGCGGGCGATGCGGGCGCCGCTGGCGGCACCTGCGGCTCCTCTCGGCGGCGACGGTCGCCTCGGCGACAGCAGCGCGGGCCACCGAAGCTCCGGCAGCCACCGCCGCTGCGGCGCGGGCAGGACCCGCCGCGCTCGCCGCCTCGGAGGCACCTGCCCGCTCCCGGCCCCGCGGCTCCGGGAGGATGTGGATCCTCGGCATCGCAGCCACGTTTTGCGGATTGTTCTTGCTTCCAGGTAAGAGGAGAGGCGGGCAGCCCAGGCAGGGGCGCGCACCGCGTCCGCCGCCGGCCCCGGGCGCCCCGGGCTGCGCAGAGGCTGCCCCGCTGGAGTTCGGCGGCGGCTGGAGCCCACAGGCACCGGGAGGGAAAGTCTCCGGGTCCTGCGCCGCTGGAGGAGAGAGGAGGCGGATTTGCAGGACTCGAGCTGCAGACGCTCGGTGCTCGGACTGCACTGTCTGAAGAAGCAGCGGGTAGCAGGGAGGGTCCGAGCTGTGCTGGGGCCTCCGCGCGGGAGAGACATGGCTCGCCCCGGCCTCGCCAAGTTGTCAGGCGTCTCTAGCAGCCCGTGGGAGTGGCGCCGCCGACAGGTGAAGGGCGCGCGGGGCAGTCTGTGGCGGGGCGTGCCTGGGGGGTGATGGTGTTGCTGCGACCGTTCTGGGACCGGGAGGGGACAGCTTGGGAACCAGCTCAACTGCGCGGGAGAGGGGGAGTTAGGTAGACCGAAAGCTCCTAGTCCCAGCGGAGCAGCCGGGCTGGAGCGGTGAGAGATGCCAAAACGTCTCGCTCCTTCTTTCCAGTGCTCGACCGAATTCCGATTGCGCTCTGCAGAGCTGGGACCCCGGCCGGGCACCCTGGCCCAGTGGGAGCCCTCGTAGCTGGGAAGAAAGGGCGTCGTATAGCGGCCAGGGGTGCCCGCCCGCGCGCACACAGGCCCCTCCCGGTGCCGCTGTGAGAACCGTCCCAGAGAAAGGCCGGGACCTGGGGCTCCAGGGCACTCAGTGTCCGGCACTTCCTTCCGGGTTCCCGGGAGGTTTCCTGGGAGTCTCCGAGCCACAGGAAAGCTGACTTCAAAAATTAGTAAAACTAAAAAGGCGTCTGCGAATGCAGTCGCAAAGTAGTGATTAAGTCATTTGTAACCAATTAACAATTAGGCAAATCCTTCAGCGTAGCCTGGAGCTGACTCTCGTCTTTGGGGCTATGCGGGCGCGCGGGTGCACGCCTTCCTTGCAACTTGCGCGTGGGAAGGCCAGGTGTGTTGCTGTTCCGGCTGTTTGTGCGGAGCCCGGGGCAGGTGTAGCGAGCAGACCTCCGCTTCATCCTTCAGGACCCTGGGCGCCCTGCCGCCCCCTGCCGGCTTCAGCCACGTCGGCTTTACTCGGAAACCCTGCTGCGGGGAGCACCCGGGCGGCTGGATGGGCAGGGGAGGGTCCTGGTACCCCGGGGGTCTTTGCAGGGGCTGGATCTGAACCCCCTGCGTCTGTCCCGCAGGCTTTGCGCTGCAGATCCAGTGCTACCAGTGTGAAGAGTTCCAGCTGAACAACGACTGCTCCTCCCCGGAGTTCATCGTGAACTGCACGGTGAACGTCCAGGACATGTGTCAGAAAGAAGTGATGGAGCAAAGTGCGGGTAAGAGCCTGCAGCTCTCCTCCCCTCCCAGCCTGGGCCGCTGTGGCTGAGGGAGCCACTAAATTACAGGACAGGGGACTGACTTTGATTCATGCCTACACGCTGGTTATCACAGATTTACTTTCACAGTGCTGGGAAAATGAAGAGTTCCAAGTTACTTTAATCTCATTAGGCTTAATTACCAGGGCTTCTCCTCCAGGGACTCGGGCGGGGAAGTGCATTTAATGAGTGGCTCTCCTCTTTTTATTTACTCCGCTCACCTCCCTCTGCTAACAGCTGATCAGGAGGCTGGAGAATATATGGATAACCAGCTCTGCTTGGACAACTAGACGGTGCCCTCTGCACAGTGTCAGCCTGAAATATGAAGCTAGTTGAAGTTCCCAGAGGTCAGAGCTTGAAAAATGTGTTATGTCATAGAGCCACACGTATTTCTCCGAGAAACACTACAGGGTCTTCATTCAATTTTAGAACTAGCGCATCACATTCCAGGCACAGATTGCCAAGAGCTTTCGAAGGAATGCTGTTTCCAGCCCCACGGGCTTAGTGGCTGGCTGGCTGGCTGGCTGGTGGATGAGAGGGCCTGGGCGTTATGTGAGGGAAGAAGGGGGTCTTGGGAGAGGAAACCTCCTTGTTCACTCCAGCTGACCAGTCTTCTCACTGAGGTGGACTCCCCAGCTCCTACCAGCATTCTTATCAGAAATCAAAGCCCCTAAAAGTGCAATTGGAACTTTGGGGAGATGGATGGAACTCTAGCTTCACTTCCAAGGTCAAACTCATAGACAAAATTAGCCATTTTAAGAATATTGAGAAAATGGGAAATAGCATCTGTTGCGGGGAGAGCCCCCAGAGTCTCACTTCAGGATCAATTCTGAAAAACTGACATGTAGCCTTAGTCAAATTCCTAAGAGCTTTAATAACTTACATACCCGGGAAAGCCGCTGCTCCAGTGGTGGCTGGCCTGGACAAGTCCACCCAGGACAGGGTCTCTAGGGGGTTAATAGTAAACCCATGGGGTGGGTAGTCATGTAGACCCCAGAAAGGACAATGGATTCCTCAGTAAACAGATACCATCAGGCAGTTAGCACACTCTATGCATTCACTAGGCTCCTTCTTGGAGCCTGACCTTTATCTCTGGGTGTCTTCCCCATTTCTGGTAGTCAGCCATGCCTGAGGCTACAGAAAGTTAAGAGTTAAACAGAGTCCAACATTTCCCAGATACCTTTCAGAGCCCTGCTCCTCTTTGGTTTGCTGAACTGCACTGCCCACAGAGCCTGAAGAAGGGATTGAACCATCAAATGACCTCCTTTTTTAAAAAAATGAATTTATAGGGGTGACATTGGTTAACAAAATTATACAGATTTCCATAGTGCCTATTGTGGGGGACCCCAGTCTTATGAGAGTTCAAGCCACTGCTCTGGGAGACATCCCAGTCCAGTGGGAGAAACTCAGTTTCTGATTAGGGTGGAGGACTTAAAAAAATTATACAGGTTTCAGGTATACAATTCTACAATACATTATCTCTATATTGCATTGTGTGTTTACCACCCCAAGTCAGATGTCCTTCCATCATCATTTATACCCCCTTTACCTTCTCATATTCCCCCAACACATCCCCTTCCCTCTGGCAACCATCAGTTAAATGACCTCCTTAACCAATTGGCAAGTTAAAGCAAGGGCTGTAGTTCTTAAGCCAGCGCCTTGGAAAAGTAATGTCTTCTCGGAGAAGGGCCTGGAAATGCCTTGTTGCTAACTGCAGTTATTTGGAGAGCAGATGGCTCCTCACTGTGCTATGATTTGGCGGCTGTGTGGTGTTAAATGCTGTTCTCTATGGGTCCTTACTGGTCTAGGTCTGGATTCTTGTTGCCAAAATCCCTCTTCTGGGAAATCTGAAGTGTATTGCTCACAAGAATAAACTGTCCCAAGATAAGCAGGTTGCATAGCTTTGTCATACGGGTTTCTGGCTATTGAAAAAGTAAAAGAGAACAAAACTTAGTGATGATCCTTTAGTCAAGATTGAAAAAGATGATTTTGACAAGCTGCTGCTTCTCTACATGTTTTGTTCCCAAGCACTGCGCCTGAGCAAAACTTACTGCCCTCTGCCAAAGGGGCTGCTGTGTTGTGAATCGGGCTCCCTCTGAACACTCTGTCACTTTAGAATATGTGCAGCTTTCTTCCCGGCATTAGGTTAGAGCCAGCAAAGGGGGCGCTTTACTGTGGACACGTTAGGAACTTCAGACTCAGACTCCTGGAGGCGGCTGCTTACCTGGGTATCATGTTTTATAAACCTGGGGTCTGGTGGAGATAAGGAGAGACTATGCCAGAAGTGGTGTCGTTTTTCGAAGAGAAATTTCTTCCTCTCTAAAAGTATGCCTAAGATGAATACCACACATCATTTCAGTGTGCTATGTGTCATCGACTTCATTCTCTTCTCAAGCCACACTGTAAAAAAGGCCCAGCAGGCATTGTAACACCCACTTATCCACAGACAACTGCAGCACAGACAGTGGCAAGTGCCTGGCCTGAAGTTGCTATTAGTTTGGTCAAGATGAACACCTTCTCTCCAAACCAGGTTCCTCTGGCCATATGTCCTAGGCCCAGGGGCGACAGAGATGGAAGTGATAAGGTAGTCTCATTTGTGAAGGCTGAGAAACAAACAGTTGATGGGCATGAAGGAAAAACCAGTTATGAGGGGAAGGATGGGAGTCCTGTGCACGTGGCAACAGGGCGTTTCAGAGCCTGAATTCAATAGAAAGCAGACAAATACATGTTCCTGAATCAGAAGAACGATGTTCGGCGGGGGGGGGGGGGGGGGGGGTGCTGGTAATTCAAAGCACTTCCATTTTCATCTCCAGGTAATTGTTAGAGGCCAATCAATTGACTATTAATTCTCCTCTTGTTGGTAGCGATGGAGAGCCAACCATTGCTGATTGTTAAGTGACCGCAGTGTAGTACAATCGTGGAGGGCTGTCTTCTGGGTGTGCTCAGGGCTTCCAGCTCCACCTTCAGGCTCCGCGCTCTACTTGGAGTATTTCATGCAGTCTGGTGGTCAGGCCTCTTCGGAAGCCCTTGCTTCCCGAGGCCACCAGCATTCAATTCTACTTCAGGGCCAACTTCTCCAATCTGGAGAAAATAATGCTTGCTAAATGATACTAGTAGGAATCAAAGTCAGAATGTTTGTTTGCTTGATCAGTAACATATATTGTGCTGAGAATCTTTGTGTGTTAGAGCTGAAGGGGCCCCCTGACTCACAGTAAAGGGTGCACGAAGGAATCTTCTGGGACTTTTATTCAAATCCACATGACTGGGCCCTCCACTACCCCTCCTGCCTGTCCCCCCACCCCCCACAAGAAGCCAGTTCCCTAAGTCTGTGGTATAGCTGGCCATGGTTCTTCCATAAACTCCCAAGTGACCCTCAGGTGCCCTAAGTTGTGCACTGCTGATCTGGAGCATACTTTAGTGTTACAGGGGAGGAAAGCAAGGGCCAGAAAAGTTAGGTGTCCGATCCAAGTCCCCCAGCCAACTGTTATGAAAAGGCACCTGATTCCTCAGCCCACACCTTATAGAGTAAAATATGCTGCCAGGTTTGCCTGCAAAGTTCAAGGAGGCAAAATGCTGAAGACTCAGACAGCTCTCATGTCTGCCCGATTCACCTGAACAGGCATAGCGAACAAGCTGAGTGGACAGGCCACAAAGTGGATATTGAAAGAATAGGAGGACCCAGCAAAGGATTTTTAGCTTGAGTGTCATGTGGACTGGCATTTTTCATATGTACTACAGAAAAAGCAGAGTTTTAAATGGACTACGAGATTTTAATGAACCAAGCAAGTTTGACATTAAACAGTAATGAAAGACATACTCTTTCCAAAAAATACCAGCAATGCAATATGCCCAGGCATTCAGTTAGTCCTTTCTGGATTAAGTCTGCAAACTCAGCTCTTTGAGTTTTGAGGCAGGTACAACATTTAGTTTTCAGTTGGGAAATACATTTAAAATTAACCTTTACCTATTCCCCAGGGTGCCGTTCCTATTAGGTGCTGGGATTTATTTTCCACCACTCTTTATCCCCTTGGCCATTTCCGGAGCAATAATGCCCAGCTGTGGGGAAGGGACCTTTGGTTCTGCCTCTTTCATGGTCCTTACTAATTGATATTTAAATGTTTGCATAAGGAATGCCTTGCTCTCACTAGCTCTCTGTAATGAGTTAGCAACTACTTACCATCACCCTTGAGAGTGACATTTCTTTTGCTCTTGCTTTTTACTGCACTCTGAAAAGTATTTCACATATTGATTTTCATTTCAGAATAGGAGCTCCCCACCCCATTTGAATTGTTACAACCAGGGTGTAAAGAATGTGAATTTGCATTTGTTTGACAGTGCAATCTTGTAATTAGAGTTTTTCCTCTTGACTAGATACAGTGAAGGGGGCATAATTTAATTTTTATAGACTAGCCAATTTCTGCCCTTAGTAAAATATAGCTCTGTCAGTGAGCAAAATGTTACAGGTTCTCCAAAACCTTATTTAAAAGTTAAATGCAGTATATTGAGAGAAAGTTCATGGTCTGAATCTGTAACCTAATCGATCTCTTCACCCATCCTCTGCAACATGCATTAATCTATTTGTCTGTTTTGCAATACAAGAGTTACTGATTTATATGCCATGTTGCATCTGCATTATGGCCGTATAAGCAATGGCGATTTTCCTTTTGGATTACTTAGTTGCTCATTCAGTTGGGTAGGGAGAGCTCCATGCCTTGGATAGGTTAATTTGATGCCTTATTTTCTCATAAACTAAATAAAAGATGGCAAGTGAGGACTCTAAAAGAATCAGTCATCCACTCATGGAAAGATAACCATGGCCTATGTTTTCTTAAGTCTATGCTCTGCTTAATTTCACTAAAATATGAGTATTGGGCTGTAGCTTGTCATTGGGGTGGGCCAGTTCTGCTAATCAGTATTATATCTCAGTCCCTTGACACCTGCATTCTTTTCCAGGTTTGCAC